AACCATCACCATCTTACATACCCATGTCTCCCTGTATCTCCTGTGTACAGGTTCATCACAATTTATTGGAGCAAGATCAGATGAAGGATTTGCCTCGCTGCTCTTTTTCAGTCTAACAATGTGCTGTCCACTGATGACCATTTGTTGTAAAATGGAGGTCCCTGCACCAAGCCATCTCTGTAACAATAGCCAATTAAAGCACAAGCTTGTCTCTATTTATTTGTATTCTTCAAGCCTCTAAAGCTTCCCTTTGTATCTCCTTTCACCTGGTTTATTTATTTGTGTCTATCACCCCCCTGTCGTTGCCCCTTTTTGAGTAAATCCTCTACAGGAGAAATATAGTTGCATTATAATTGGTTCCCAAGCACCCATTCCAAAAGTATCAGTGGTGCAGCACCTCGACCTGGAAGACAGTTCCCAGCAAAGTAAGATAAGTAGGAAGTATTACGGCTGTTGCACAAACAAGATCAACGACATGCTTGGACGTGCTTCTCAATATTTGGAGTTGGGGAGCGTACATGGGGCAGCTCTGAGACTCTTGAGATAATGAGTAGAGGCACAGAGCATGCCAGAGATACAGCTGTCACCTAATGGACAATTAGGTATCAAAAGGCGAGACAAGAGGAGACGACGGGGTCAATAAAAAGTCAACTCTGAGGGATTATTGGATGATTCTTTGGTAAGTAATGATGCATTCAACCCTTTTCATTAGTTAACATGTACACACATTGCTGGTAAGGGCAATAAAGGTTATTCAAACAATTGAGCATACTGCTCAAGAGAGAACCCAACAACATGAACCCGTTGTTTATCAAATAAACAAAATTGTTTCTGCAGTGGACAAGCCATTTTCTGGTTTGACACCCTGTGTGTTATCTGTTCTTTAGTGGTTAAGACAATATAAGGGAGGCTGTGGCTCAGTGGGTAGTGTGCTGGACTTCGAATCAGGGGATAGCAAGTTCGAGTCCCACTGCAGTCAGCATGTCGTTGCTCCTGTGGGGATTGTCCAGAGTATACTGAATAATAATAATAATACATGTATTTTGGGGGGCGCCTTTCATAACACCCAAGGACACCTTACAGGGTTACAGATTTACAATTGACATTTACAATTTTACCTTACAAATTAAAACAGTGGATTTAATGATCTACCGGGGTAAGACAAGACAAACAACAGGAAATTGACTACAAAAGGACACAGGGTACAGATTATAAAGAAAATGCCAGTTTGATCAGGTGGGTTTTGAGTTGGGTTTTGAATGTTGTTATGGAATCAGACTGTCGGATGTGTAGTGGCAGGGAGTTCCAGAGTCTGGGAGCCGAGCAGCTGAAAGCTCGAGCACCCATGGTTTTGAGGCGATAGCTTGGGACGGTGAGAAGTCCTACGGATGAAGAGCGGAGGGTGCGGGAGGGGGTGTACTCCTGAAGGAGGTCAGAGATGTAGATGGGGGCAAGGTTATGGACAGCTTTGTATATGAGTAGAATGTTTTTGTAGTCAATACGGTAGCGTACAGGAAGCCAGTGTAGCTGAGTGAGAATGGGGGTAATGTGGTCAGATGAGTTGGTGCGGGTGATGATCCGGGCAGCAGAGTTCTGGATTATTTGCAGTCTATTGAGGAGCTTGATGGGAAGGCCAGTCAGAAGTGCATTGCAGTAATCAATCCGGGATGTGACGAATGAGTGGACCAGGATTTCAGTGATGGGTTGGGACAGAGATGAGCGGAGTCTGGAGATGTTCCGAAGATGAAAGAAGGCGGTGCGGGTGATGTTTTTTATGTGTGGTGCGAATGAGAGGGAGCCGTCCAGAATGACACCGAGGCTTTTCACTTGGGCAGCGAATGGTATGGGGAAGCCGTCGATGATGATGTTTGATGCTGGGGTGATATGTGAATTGGTGAGGGTGGATTTGGAGCCGATGAGCAGGGCCTCAGTTTTGCTACCGTTAAGCTTCAGGAGGTTCCTGCTCATCCAGCTCCTGATGTCCTCAAGGCAGGTGGTGAGGGAGGTTGGGGGGAGGGCAGTGGTGGGTTTGGAGGAAATGTAGACCTGTGTGTCATCGGCGTAGCAGTGAAAATTAACCTCATGGTGACGGAGGATTTTGCCCAGGGGGAGGAGAAACATGATGAATAGGAGTGGACCCAGTACCGACCCCTGGGGGACACCCAGTGAAATAGCACTTTCTTGTGACTTGTGATTACCGAGTTGTACAAACTGTTGTCTGTCAGTGAGGTATGATGAGAACCAGGAGAGTGCAACACCAGTGATCCCAATGCCAGCCAGGCGGTCCAGGAGTAGTGGGTGAGAGATGGTATCGAATGCAGCGCTGAGGTCAAGGAGGATGAGGATGGTGAGAAGTCCGGAGTCAGCTGCACGGAGGAGGTCGTTGGTGATTTTAACCAGGGCTGTTTCAGTACTGTGAATGTATGTAAGTCGCTTTGGATAAAAGCGTCTAACAAATGACATGTAATGTAATATAATAGACAAACGGGATTGCGCAAGGGTTAGAAAAACAAACAAATGTTCAAGTAAAAACTGTACAATTAGCAAGCGGAATTGATGCACCGTCGTTTGGTGGACATATAGAGCAAGACTAAGATTGAAAAAGTGTCGAGTTCAGTGAGAAACCGTCCTCCCGCAATTAAAGAAGAGGCAATTCGGAATGGATTATGCAAGATCTTTTCTTAACCACATCAGTATTTAGAGCAGCATTAACACTTATGACTGGTAAGAGTGATTTCTGAGAGTAAAATGTAGGAAAACCATATTTCCTAAAGAAGACAGTACTGGAGTTGCTGCTCCAAGCATGAAAGCTTACCAAAAATTCTGACAGAATGAATGAATGTTTAATAAAGAAGAAGAGGAGAAGCTTATTTCAAGTATGTGCACACATTGTCGGAACCGTTTCTTTTATTCTGTGAAAAGATATTTCATTAAAGGACATCAAAAGTTATTTCTGTCTCCTTAATCTCTTTCTGTGGCTGTGGCAGAGGCTGTCTGTAGCTTCATTGCAGCTGAATGTCACAGGTACACCGGGCGGGCCAGTCCCTACTAATTGGTTGGTTTATGGTCAATGCAGGGGAATAAAGGGACATTACGCTGTGCGTTCTGTTCACTCCTGACCTCTTGTACCTGTCTAGGTGCCTGGCAAGAACATGACTCTTCCCTTGAGGATGGATGACTAACCCGAGGACACAAATAAAAAATACTGCACAGCATCACCCGAAGAGACAAAGAGTGAAGACAGATGAGAAGTAAGAGGCATATTTTTAATGAGGAAAATGAGAGGGTGGTGGGATGCGGTGCTCGCTGCTGATGAAAGAGGAGATTACGAGGTGATAGAAGAGGAGGGAGCAGGATAGGGATGTTGTGCTTAAGGGAGAAAGGGAAGAACAAAAAAAGGAGGAGGCGGCGGCAGTAGTGGAGGCAGAGGAAGGACATGAGAGAAAGTGACAAGGAGGTGCGTTTTTTCTTACTTTTTTCAAAAGTTTTCAAAGTTTGAATAGACGGTAAAGTTGGGAAGAAGATGTCTGCGAGCGTTGATCGTATCTGCAAAACACCCCCAGGTTGGAATACAGAGACATTTTGGGAGGCTGAATCATGTAGCTGCTATACTTAATCAGTAGAATGGCCATTGCAGTTTTCATGTGAAAGTGGGATGTGGAGAGATTGAAGTTATTTTTATTTAGATCATACCGAGAGTGGCTTCCTCCCCCTCTCACAGAATAGGTGACTTCCTTTAAAGAACAGCCAAAGTCTCCCCATTTCCTGTGATTATGTTCTCATTATTGTGTTAACTGTTGTGTCAATCTGTAATAAAAAGTGTAGAGATGAATGACTGCGGAGTGCAGAGAGCGTAAAAGTGGAGCAAAATTGGCAACTTTGATCGAGGTAAAGTTAGCACAGTATGGGTGGAATAGTCAAAATGGTATTTCCTTATACATACAGTATATTGCTAACTAACTTGAATGAAACAGTAGTTAAAACAGTAATATGATTTATTACAGGATAAATGCTTTCATTGTATTACATTATAAGGAATTCTAAAATATATCATTAAAATCAATAGAATAGACATTCTTATAATTTGTCTACACCCATTTAACATGGGAAATGCCGAGGCAGCAGCATGTGAAAGCAAAGCAGGGTGTCCTTATTTTTCTCTTCAACAGCAACACCATGCCTTAATAAAATGCTAGCGTCCTTAGGAAATGTAGGAAGGTATAAAATAAGGTTTTAGTCAACATTGGGAAAGCTGTCTCATACTTTAGAAAGTACTGGGGGAGCTTGACCAATATAACTCGCAATAAGTACAACTAAACAAAAATCCCAACAAAGTAACAATATTGGAAATAGTATAACAAGTGAGGAGATTATATTCGTATTATTAACAATTGGTAACCTCTGGGTCTAAAAAGTAAAGACAATGGAGTGGTGCAGGAATGAGTCCTAGAAATGACTTTGTGTTTTACCATTTCCGGTTCCCTCATCTAGAAGTTTTAGTCGTTTTTGACGTGTTTTTGTTTAAGCGCCTGAATTAAGGTCTGAGCTTTACACAATCTTGTAAGATTTTCATGTTTTGTTCCAGGACATAAAATACATCAGTAAACACCTGAATCTGAAATGTCCAAAGCTTCAATGGGTCATAAAAACGTCTGTTGCGAACAAAGTGACTGAACTGTGTTATAGCTCTGCGATCCTGTGTCAATTCAGGTTGATGGTTCAAAAGAACAATATGGATAATGCCAAAAACCAAGATGGCAATGGCTAAAATGCATAAACTTAAAGCTTGAACACCATAGTTAACAAACAAACAAGTGACGTCAAGATGACTCTATTTCTTATTTAGAGTGCATGGACTTTACATTATGCCATTGAGCAGTGTTCTTTATGTCAAAAACCCTACAACACTTCCTCTGTCTCCAATGTGGCCTAATTGCCACCTGAGGATTCAATGTTCAGTAATGATTGGTTGATGTTAGTGCAGTAGTGCTAGCACTTACTCTCTGTATATCCGAGGTGAGCTGCAGCAGTGTTGGAGACGCTGTGGGTCGCAGAGTCTCCGTCCCTCTGACTGGAGAGTTCAGACTGACGTAGGCCACGGCACTGCTCTGCAGGACAACACTGTTATCCTGAAGGGAACACGCACACACACAGTTTATCATCATTACTCTGCCAATGATATTCCTTACAGTATCATGGTTGTCTGGTCACAATTGTGTCATTATAAATGTATTAGGTTGTAATGTAATTCAATCAAATTCAATACTTTTTATTTATGTATTATTATTTTTAATTTATTTGTATGATTTAACCATTAATCCTTTGTTACTACATAGATTAGGGAAACCTGTACTAATTATGTATAACATTTTTATATTAAACTGGGCCAATAATGTGTAACATCCTACATTTCAATGTTTAAACACATTTCTTATTGATGCATAATGTAGCCGTAATGAACTAGTTTCCAGGTATGAATAAGTGCTGATTTAGAACAGATCAGCTAACTGTGACTGCACGATGAAATCACAGTTAGCTGAAAACAATCATTTTAAAGCAAATAAGCTGGTTTGTATTTGCCAATAATATGTTGGACTCATATAACTGTAAAGTGTTTTTCAGACATAGAAAGAAAGAAAAAACTATGTAGTGGCCCCCCTGCAGTGACTGTGAACAGAATTGAGGACTCCCTGGGGGTCCTCCTGTTAAAGAACAACACCATAGAGTTATTTTCAGCTATACTGTAATAGAGTTACATGGGAATATAAATTAGAAGTAGTCAATTATAAATGAGAACTACTCAATTGCTGCCTTGGTGGATTGTTCTTCAAATCTATTATTCATATCCTGAGAGAAAACCAAAGGAACTCCTGTTTTAATCCCCTTTTCTCTTTTTCATGTAAATTCTGTCCACATACATTTAAAAAAGCTGCTGTGTGAACCTTCTCTTTATCATTTTGATTAGTATTTGGCCCATAGCTTGCTAAATGCTAACAAGCCCTAGCAGTAGCATATGTTGCAGCCTTTTTTTGTATTTATTTCTTAAATACATGAAAAGGTCAAAATCTTTGACCTTTGTGTTGACATTTAATAAAACAGATGCACTTGTGCCTGCTGACCTTTCCCCACTCATAGGACCCGATGTTCCCCAAGGCTGAGCCCCCCCACGAGCAGAACACAGTGGTTCGGTCTGGCACCCATGCCTGTTTGGTCTGCTCTGTCAATGCCGCGATCAGCTGATTCATGATGGCTGAAGCTCCGCCTCCCTGGTCGCTGTCATGACGACTGCCAACCAGCACATAGCGATCTAAGAAAATATAGAATGAGAAGTGAAGATACATGAATGCATCTTTGTCTTTGGCAGCAGGTGAATATTGCTACTGTAGCACATGTCAAATGTATTTATGCATGTATTGGCCACATTTAGAAAAATAAAAAAGAGAAATCCCCAATACAGTCACAAGCAATAATTGTGGTTAAAGATGTGTTGCTAAGCAATCACCTGCACTAATATGAAAACATCTTGTAGTTTCCAATTTGAATTGAAGATGCAAGAACAATTTCAATTAAATCCTATAGTCTATTTTTCAAAACCAGTCAATCATCTCCATGGTCATTTTCAAAGAGAGATGAGGCTGCCTGTTGCATTGACGATAATTCCATAACATATTTGAAACAACTTGGGATACGAAAGCAATTTGTTGTAATTTTCATAACCTCTTTAAACCTGTTAAACCCCGAGCCTGTTTTTCAGGTTTCAGGCTCGAAAATGACATTCCCAGAACAAATGACTATAACTTCACTTCTAAAAGGTTTATATGAATAATTGTTGTTATCAAAGCAAGGTTACATCTGTGAGTTGGATGTAGAAGTGTCAGAATCAATATAGATTGTTCTGTGTCAGAGTAAATTCAGATGGAACATAGCAAACAAATGTAAATTCCTGTCTCCGCCTAAAGAAAACCCATTACTTATAGTGAAGACCAACCTTGAATGATGGGTTAGTAGCCTAAAAGCTTTAGGAATCCAAAGTATAACATATAATAAGTACCCTGTATCAAGATTGAGGCAAAACAAGTGACATTTGCCCTTTTTAGAGAGGTTTATGAAAATAAAGTCCAGGCAGAATAAGCTTTGGGCACATTTGGTTCCATCAGTGCCATTTGACCTTTTTCAGGTACCAGACTATACAAATTATTGTATTACATTGAATAATCACTATAGGTATTCATTCCACCCAAAAAAAAATATATATATATATATATATATTTTTTTAAAAATATGTTTGTGTGTGTGAGTGTGCGTACTAGGTGTGTGTAAGTGTAGGTGTGTGTGTGTGTGTGTGTGTGTGTGTGTGTGTGTGTGTGTGGTGTGTGTGTGTGTGTGTGTGTGTGTGTGTGTGTGTGTAGCTGTGTGGGTACTGTATGTGTAGGTGTGTGTAGCTGTGTGGGTATGTGTAGGTGTGTATGTGTAAGTGTAGCTGTGTGTATGTAACTGTACCAACGCACTATACAATAAAACCACACTGTAGGTCATTGTGTGTAGGTGTACTTGCACAATAAAAAAAAACAGAAACATAGGTAACATTTGACTCCAACTGGGGCAGATTTATTTCAAACATTTTACCAACACACTATAGGCATGTAAAAACAAACATTTTACCAATGTACTATACAATAAAACCATACTGTAGGTTTGTAAAAACAACAAATATTTAAGTATACGTTTTTTTTTTTTAAATAAACACTCGCAAAACGTTATACCTACCTGAACTTTATACCTACCTGAATGTTCCAGTATTTAGGTCGTGCCACTCCCTGAAACAGTTATTTTTGACAGTGAAGCACAGAGGGACCTGGCACTTCCTGCAGTACACAGGTGTCTTCACCCTTTTGAGTCCAGCATCTAGGCATCTCCTGCAGTTCTTCCTGACCTTGGTGGCATCTTCCCCATAATACTCGGACATGCATGTGAGTGGTGGAGGAGGAGGGGGTGGGGGTGGAGGAGGAGGGGGTGGGGGTGGTGGAGGTGCAGGGCCTTCAGCAGGGCCTTCAGCAAACTCCAACAATTCTGCAGCAAGCTGCTCCCTGAAAGTCTTCTGGGTGTGTGGCTTTGTCCTGCTGGGGTCACTCCTCATCTAACAAATGTGGAAAAACAAAGAGATTAGATTAATTCACTGGCTTATTCTTATAGGATAATATTGGACTATAAATGAATAATATTACACCAAATAAATAAGTAAACACATGGCCATTCATTTAGAAAATGTAACTCCAAAAAGACAAGTAACACTATTTAGCATTTTGCCTAATCATTCCTGTAGCTTCTTGGCTAAGCTAGCACTGTGACGCAGTTCCACCAAACACATAAGTAATATATAAAAACAGAGAGATTACATTCCTTTCCCGTGGTGGAAGTTCAACATCCGAGTCACTACTGTCCGGATCCAGGTCTGGCTGGAGGTGATCTTCATCATCCGACGACGAGTCATCTGGTATGAGCTATCGTCAGCTAGCATCTCTAGCACCTGCTCGGTGGTGAAGCTCTCCCTTCTGGCTGCGTAATGCGTAATGAAGCAGGAGCGGGCGTAGTTTATACTACGCAGGATCATATCTTTGGAACCCATTGGTCGATTTGGGTGATTGACACCTTTTCTGAACCGTTAGAGCCAATATAATCGAGTGACAGTTAGTAAGTCCCGCTAAACACTTACGTCAAGTAGAGAGAGGTTTGCGTAAACAGCACGTGAGACAGCATTAGCTCGGGACTGCGAAACTTTTTACCTACTCTGCTGCCATGAATGTAATGATAGATTATCAGGAACAATTCTAAAGTGACTAATAGACATTGGATTAACTTTAAGCAGCGTTTTTATTCCCTTGAACACGAGCTTTGATCACAAAACAGCAACGGTAAGACATAATTATTGTTATGGTTTTGAAAACAGTTGTTTTTTTTCTTCTCTGTTCTGGCTGATATCTCAGTGAGTTTGTGTCCTACAGTGATGATACTTATAACAACATAATCTGTGGAGTATCAGCTTTCAGATAATATGTAGTTTGTGCAGAAAATATTAAGTTTTAAAGATCGTTTTTGCTAGTTAGCACCGGAAGTAGCATCTGCCCGTTTTAGCTAAGGGCTAATGCTAACGCTTCTTCTGAGACTTGTGTTTTGTTTTGGTAAAAATGGCTCGTATAGTCAGTTAGCTGAGATTCTTCTCGTTAATCTGGTATAACACATGAATAGGTTTTTAAATATTAAGATACCCTGAGACACAGTGTCGTGAAAAAAAAAACCAGGGTCCCCGCCGGCGGGGACCTTCGGGCTTAACAGGTTAAAGAGCCTATTACAAAATCTATTGGTATCTTTGAATATAGGTTTCCCCTTGTTGCATTGAACTCCAGGGATGTATTTAATGAGGAATTCATGCTAATGTTTTGTACCGTTAATTATTGGTACTGTGACCCTGTTACCTTTTAAACCTTGAAAATATGTTTTGGAGGTTATGGTATCAATCGACGTGCCGTTTTCTGTAACTGTCCAAGCCTCTTCACATTTGATTTTCCATGAACCAGTCTCTAAACACTGACAGAGCTCATTCCTGTCAGTGTTTACTTCCTGTCTGTCTTCGGCCCAATTCCGAACCACACCATACCCACTCCCACTCCTGCCCCTTTCACACCAGCGCTTTTTCAGCTCCGGCTCGGAGCTGGAGCCTGAAAAGCGCCGGTTTTTCCTGTTCACACCGCAGTGGCGCCGGCTCTTAGCTCCGGAATCCGGTTCACTTCCAGCTCCAAACAATTGTCGGTCTAGAGGCAAGAGCTTCGGAGCTAAGAGGTGGCGTCGCTTACGTCTCTCTTACGTCGAGGCGTGCAGGAAACTAAACCCACCTCCCCTGAACATGGGTCGACTGTCATGCCTGCCTACAAGCCGTAGTGCTTATAAACACACTTTATAAAGTCAGGCAACACTAACCAGGCTTCGTGTGATTCTGTTTATTTGTACCTTACTTTGACCATCCGTTCACTGTTATTGATCATTGTGGAGAGAGGCAGACGTTTTGTTTTGTATTATAGCAGCTATCGGATGGAATCAATACATGGGCTGCACAGGTTTTTGTGTCCGACTATCACAAGTAGAATCATAATAAAAATACGCCGGTAAAATGTGCCTGTAGAGAACGGTTTATGCCACAATAGGATAGCAATAGCAAGTAGTCAGTTTAGCTTCGGTTGCTATGCTAACATCACCCATTTTATACCAGAGAAACTTTCATAACAGCGTTGTGATACCAAACAGCGTCAATTCAGACTGACACACATTCACTTAGGCTAAGGGGAACTGGGGATATGTATCAGCTGCTTGTGTGAGTCGGACAGTGAATACTTTAGAGCGGCCGCTGCAGTGTGAGCTAACCGGGAGCTAACGGAGGAGAATAAACTCCCGTGGAAGAGCAGCGGTCGGTAAATGCTGCAGAAACACATTAATAAACAATGAACCACGGCACTCTGGAGAAAAGCATAAGGTTGGAGAAGTCGTTATTCAATTTATTCTGGCTTCGTGTGATTAAAAGCAACACGATCATCGACCCGACGCAGTTCCCCGTTGTTGTGAGCGCCGTAATGCCGTTGGGGAGCAAATCAGCGATGTAAACTGTGACGTCATGACGCAGCAGCGGCAGCACCAGTCGGGTGCTGGGCGGTGTGAACAGAGCGGGAGCAGAAAAGGGAAACCGGAGCTGAACCAGAAAAGCTCTAGCTCGGAGCTAGAAAGGGAAAAGCGCTGGTGTGAAAGCCGCATCCGTGACGGAGTGAACTCCGTGGTAGAGTGCCACTCGCAGCTTAACGAGGCTTCCTCCTTTCAGGTTGAGGGTGTGAATACAGCGGCAAGCTTTGGGACAAACTCCCCTCTCTCCGGCAGAAACAGGAAATGCCAACCCAGTCTCACAAAAAAACGTGTAATAACTACGTTGGTCCACAACGTAGGACGTAGTATATCTACAAAAACGCCTCTGAAATTGTAAGATGCCTACGTTTTTTTCACCATTCATTCCAATGGCTGGCTTCTATGTCACGTGATCTTTAAATTTCTCCCTCGTTTTATTCTCGGTGTAAAATGCCTATTTTAAGGTTATATTTGGTCATTAAAATGCGTTTTGATGTCATTTCATGCGAGAAATATGAGTTGCTATTTAAGATTATGTGTGCAGTGGGTGTACATGATCTTTAGTTTGCTAGTTATTACGAAGATTACTTCAGGAAATTGTGTCCATTCAACGTTTTCATTGTTACCAAGATGGTTGCTAGG